GCAGCCCTGTAAATTCACCAATAATCTTGTGTACTTTTGCTCAGGCCGGGGGGCGGAGGTGGGGGATATAGGCACGAAAGAGGGTAGAGGCCTCCGAGTAGCCAAGGGAAGGGTCCTAGTTATCTCCATACTCAGCCTCTGGCCCTGTGCTTCCCTCTCTCATCCTTCTCCATCTCCTTTTTAGCAGGTGGAAAGCTTTGGTTTGAATCATGCAGAAAATTCCAGAAATGGTGCCATTACACAGTAGGCCCATGCAGCAAATCTCCTAAACGTGTAAGTGCACACACACACACACTCACACACAGCATCCACTGTGGCTTGATGTGGTGGCATAACTATTGTGCCAATTCTTGATATGTTTCTCCCGCCAAGCCATCCTAAATGGAGAAATGTAACATTAACGCTGCCATGCAGAAGAGCCCTCCACACCCTGCCCAGAGACACACAGACTGGTTAATAAACGTGACCCGCAGGGGATTCCATCGTCATCACAAGTGGTGCGTGTCTCTAGTGCACTGGTTTCTAAGCGTAGTGCCTGGGCCAGCAGCATGGGCAGCACCTGGGAAGATGCTGACAATTCAAGACCCACTAAATCAGAAACTCTGGGTTGGGGCAATCTGTTTTTTATTTTATTTTACTATTATTCTTATTTAGTTATTTATTTTTTGCTGGAGCAATCTGTTTTCACAAGCCCTCCAGTGACTGTGCTGCACGTGTTTGAGAGCTACCACTCTTTTGCCACATTTAGTTTGTCCCTCCGTGATAAGGGCCAGGCAGCCTTCAGAAGACAGGCTGAGAAGATTCCTAGCGCCAGGACATTCGGTAGAGTTCAACGGTGTGAGAGGCTGAGGCCAGTGGTGTTAGGTCACCGCCCCGTTCTGGACAAAATGCAAAATGGTATGTCCAGTGTTCCCAGGGTCCTTGATACATGGCGAGTGACAAGCAAACATGGCTTTTTTCTAAATGGGAAATGATGTAACAGAGTATAGCATCCTGTTTTCCTGATCTTTTGTCAGATTTCCAGATCTTTCAACTTGTAAAACTGGGGATACTCAGGATTTGTACATCCCCATGTTAAAGTAACACGCATCTCGCTTTCCCTTCTATGAACAGATGGGCACCGCCTTTCTCACACACTGCAGATATTCACGCAGAGACAGTTCTTAACCATCAGTGCCGGGACCGAAAATGAGGCTGTGCCTAGAAAACATAAATAGGGGCTTGCATTTGCTCAACCCAGAGTTCTTGCCAGGTGCTGTATTTTGTACTATTAACAAGGAATTAATAAGAAAACCTTACAAACCTAGGTGAGCCTGTTTCATGTATTCAATGAGCGAGGCTTTGTTACTATTCCAAAAGGATGGAAGCTTCTCCTCACGAGGGTATTTGCAGCACGACAGCTCCAGCGTGATTTCAAAACACTGGGCCCAGATGTAGTTGTAATCTTGCATTCCTCCTAAACACAAGCATATTTAATTTTTGTTAAGGTCTGCAATTGGAGCAGAGCCAAGTATCACATACCTTGGGGACAAGTGAATCAGACAGTTGCAGGGAAAGTACACGTAAACAGGAAAAGATGAATCTGACATATTAGCGTGTAAAATCAGGGCTTGACATTTTACTACCCACGCATGACCAGGCAATGCTAAATAGTCCCATATGGATAACTGGGTCAGAGCGGACTGAAGTTTAACTGTGCATCAAAGTTAAGTGAGGGGTGGGTCGTTTTTTATTTGCATTTGTTTGAAATCCTACATTACAAAAAGGATTCTTTAAATTACATTTCTTCTTTAAATTACATTTTAATGGCTATAAGCTAGAGTAAGATTTCTTTAAAAACATTTCTACAAACCATTTATAAACACGCTTATTATGTAAAGCTGATTTTTCACTAATTTGGAGGACTAATAATGGCCAACATTTACTGAGGGTTCACTATTGCTAGGTACTGTTCCAAGTGCTTTGTATCAACTCATTTAATCCTGACAACAAGTATTACCCCTGCTTTACAGATGAGGAAGTGTGATCACAGATGTTCTGTGGGTTTTTTTTTTGTTTTTTTGTTTTTTGAGACAGAGTCTCGCTCTGTCTCCTGGGCTAGAGTGCCGTGGCATCAGCCCAGCTCACAGCAACCTCACACTCCTGGGCTCAAGCAATCTTCCTGCCTCAGCCTCCCAAGTAGCTGAGACTACAGGTGCACAGCACCACGCCTGGCTAATTTTTTCTATTTTTTAGTTGGCTGGCTAATTTCTACTTTTTTTAGTAGAGATGGTGATCTCGCTTTTGCTGAGACTGGTCTTGAACTCCTGACCTCAAGCGATCCTCCCACCTCGGCCTCCCACAGTGCTCGGATTACAGGCGTGAGCCACCGTGCCCCGCCCGTGATCACAGATGTTAAGGAATATGCCCAGGGATTCCAGCCAGTGCGTGGCCGAGACTGGCACACAGGTGACCTCGCACAAGCCCCTGTGCTCTTATCCATCACGCTAAAGGGCTCCTGGGGCTGAAAGAAGGGTGGCTGCTGACTCTTGGGGGGTAGAAGGCCCAGCCCCTCGTGGCTTCTGGGGTTGCCACGGCTCTTGCTTGCTTTCCAGTTCTTACCTCCAGACCCCCACTTTCAGTAATCATTTCATATTTTCTAAGATGCAAAACTTTTCATATTTTAAGTTCTCTGAATTGGGATGTGTCTTAAAGTTTATGGCTGAAAAATATTGTGTTTTTACTTTAACTGAAAACTTCTTTTTTCGGCAATATGTTGTGTGTTGCAATCAATAGCTTCCTGGATTTGATGAAATACGTTAAGTTTTAAGGAAGTAGTTTTTGACAGATTTTAATTTGTTACACTTAATATCTGCCCAAGAAAATACATATTCTCAATTCCATCAGGATATTTGGGAAGTACTGAAGGAGAAGACAATATTGGAGAAGACAATATTAATGCTAAGAAAATGGCCAAATTATCATATCAAAATATTATTTAAATATTAAGTAATCTCTATGTAGGTCCGGATTCCAAACAGGAAGAATTTCTTTGTCCCATTTCCTTTACTTACTATATAGGTTTTGTATTTCTTTCTGACCTCATCTTCACCAAGGATGACCACTATAATTTACTACACAGCTGCCATATGCCCAACATTGGTCTGGTCTGTTTTACTGGTACTGACCTCATCTTCACCAAAAAAAAAAAAAACAGAAGGAAAAGGAAGAGAGAAAAGAAAACAAAGCCTGTGGCTGGATAAATACATCTCAAGTAGAAAGAACGAAAGTGGCAGGCTGGGCACTGTGGCTCAGGCCTGTAATCCTAGCACTCTGGGAGGCCGAGGTGGGAAGATTGCTTGAAGTCAGGAGTTTGAGACCAGCCTGAGCAAGAGTGAGACCAAGTCTCTACTACAAATAGAAAAAATTATCTGGGTGTGGTGGCATGTGCCTGCAGTCCCAGCTACTCAGGAGGCTGAGGCAGGATGATCGTTTGAGCCCAGAAGTTTGAGGCTGCAGTGAGCTACGATGATGCCACTACACTCTAGGCAGGGCGACAGAGTGAGACTTTGTCTCAAAAAGAAAAAAGAACTTAAGTGGCAAAACAGGTGCGCATTATGGATCCCTGGCAAAGTCACCAGGATTGAGAATATCAAGCGTGCAGAGTGTACGCAGTTCTGGAAGGCCAGTCGGGCCTAGAAATAAAACATCCAGGTTGGGCCAGACACTGTGCTCTAGGCTCCTCAAGGCAGCTGGCTTTGCCTGCTTTTTGTCTGAGAAGAATACACAGCTCACACACAGGCACACTTGGGAACAATTCCCAGCAGCAACTGTTCCTAGCTAATTTCCTACACATCTGGATTTGTCTTGAAAGTTACAGTGAACATAAGGACAGCTCTGCCACTGGGCAGGAGGGGCCCTTTCCTAGCTAAGAAGAGTGGAGAGCAGGCACTATGCTTGGAGCCCTAAGTGTGAGTCCGGGGCTGTGTCTTGGCCAACAGAGGGAGGTTTGGGATGCTGCGGTGTCCAGCTATGTCTGCTGCCTATCAGTGGTGGTCTATGTTTATTTACATGACCTGCAAAACAGGCAGAGAGCTGCCCAGGCACAAAAGTACTATACCAACTTGTGCAAGATTACTTGACAGCCTGTGTATCCGAAGTGACGACCAGGGAAGGTGCCTTTGGAAGTGGCCTGCATGCAGAAACACAGCCTGCTCTTGGCAGGGTCAGGCCAACCAGTCTAGAAGGGAATGCTTTCCACTGGGCAACGGAAATGCAGTTCCAGCCCACTGTCTCCTCTCTTGCCCTTCTATCCTAGGCGCCTCCTGCCCCTGCGCTTCTGTTTATGTTATTCCTTCTGATAATCTCTCTCCTTCCACGTTCCCTACATGGCAATCTCGATCCTCCTGTACCTGTCCATTCTATTCTAAGGGTGGGAAACTGGGGACCCTCCTCCTGCTGTATCCTGCCTGAAGAGCTCTTTTGTTCAGCCTGCAAAATGGCTTCAAAATCATGACATTTCATGTACAAATCCAGCTTCTTTTACAAACTGGACGATCTGACAATATTGGTTCCCCATTGCTGCATGGCAATAATCAGCTGCCTCTAAGTAGCAGCCGTCCCCATTAGGTGGGACATAGCATTAAGTTTCTCCAAGGTCTTCTCGACTCCCTATTGTATTTTGGCTTTATACCCCTGTGATACACTGTATCTTTCCTAAATCTCTATTTTTATTCTAATTACACTGCTATCACAATTACAGTCATGCACCACATAACGATGGACTGTGTATGCAAAGGTGTTTGGAGCAATGGGCTATCCCATGTAGCCTAGGTGAGGAGTAGGCTAGACCATCTAGGTTTGTGTAAGTGCACTCTGACGTTCACACAATGACAAAATCACTAACAATGCATTCCTCAGAATATATCCCCATTGTTAAAGCAACACATGACTGTATTTATTTGCATGTCTTTCTCCTCTATTAAACTTGAGGGTAAAGTCTCAAGTTTAATAGAGGTTTCTGTGTCTCATTCATCTTTCTTGGCACGGTTCCTGGCTCATAGTAGGCAGATGCTGAATAAGCATTTGAATGAATGAAGGAGGCCCTTGGCAGTGAGGAACACGTCTGAGCATTTCTCAAACTATCAGTCACCTCCACTGCTCTTGTGATACTAGCTGATGGAGACACAAAGGAGGAGACTGCATTGTGCCTAAAGATCTTTTCACAACTGCTGGGTCAACTGGCACCTCTGGGCAAAGGCAATAAGGAGAATGGAAGAAATGAAGAGAAACTCACCTTGGAGCGGATACCAAGAATATCCATTTGTAACACCATTAGGAAAGTTCATTTTATTTTTACACTGATCTCCTTTCTTCATGTTGATATTTCTTGAGGCGTAGGTATGTGCGAGATATTGAAAAACATCATCATCAGGAGTTAAGCTTCGGGACAGTAATGCCCCAGTGGCTGCATTTGAAAAACAAGCCAAGACCTTTCGATTGACTTTAGAGTGAGAGGAAACACAAATACCATATTGGCAAATACATAATCACATGGCACATGGATGCTCTCATTTCCCTGGAGAAAAATCCTGTACCTATTTCCATGAACGCTTCCTCTTCTTTCTGTTTTTTAATGACACATACAAGGTGGTAGTGGTGGTAGTTCACAAAATAAGTCAGATACATGTTGAATATGCTTTATCCAAAATGCTTGGGACCAGAATTGTTTCAGATTTGGGATTTCTTTTTTTTTAAGATTTTGGAATATTTGCATTATACTTACCGGTTGAGCATCCCTAATCCAAAAAGCCAAAATCCAAAATGGTCCAATGAGCATGTCCTTTGAGTGTCATGTCAGTGCTCAGAAAGTTTTAGATTTTGAAGCATTTCAGATTTTGGATTTTCAGATTAGGGATGCTCTACCTGTACATACCCAAACTCCTCCTAAATCAGCTTAAAAATTAAATATCCTCTTAGTCACTCTTGCTAATTTCTGGAGGTTGGTAAACTTTCCTTAGGTACTGCAGGGATTAAATGAAGCCACTGTAATATTTTAAGTCCTTGGTACATACCTCATCCCACAGAGTTCTAAGAGGAGCCAGCAATTATTGTTCATGTAACTAGAAAGGTGAGTTGTTCTAGCTTTATTTTCTTTTGGCCATGTTGCCTCCTGTGAGAAAACCTAGATCCGATTTCACTATTTCACTGACACAAGTCAAGCTGTGCGTTGTCAGTTCAGCCACACTGCCCATCTACTGTTTAAGAATTACAGGCAGGACAGCTCAGGGTTGGGAACATGAGGCTCTTTCTACCCCTGCCGGAGAAGTCAAGTGGGGCAAGAGTTTATCCGCATTCAGGGCAGAGAGTTGGCAGCTCACTAGGGACTGGGGAAGCCAGAGCCTGGCTGTGCTTGCTTACCTTGAACACCATTATCAAATGGGTAACTGGCCACAAGGGCACCACCGTGCAGGTTTGCAGAAAGTACAAATGTCTCCGTTTTCAGCCACTTCATGACTGCCACAGTTTCAGGCTGCCTTGAGACATTATTAAATTCAAAAGCATCGGGGAAATTTCTATTCAGGTCATAGTTGTTATAATTTTCCCTTTAAAAGAAAGAATTTTTTAGCGTTATCGATGGTGAGTGAGGGAGTGAATTTTCACACCACATAGACCTTTGGATTGGGCTCCAGCTGTTTTTCCAAATGTGAATACAGGTGTGGAGGATGGTTGCCTTGGTGGCCTGCAGTGAACCACCCCTAGCATTCACACCTTATGTTGTCCTCTCCCATGTGACTTGATCTCCCCAGTGAGACATTAGCTATTGTGAGGCAAGCAGAGGTCTGATAAGTGTTTGCATTTGGGGACTTTGCTCTTAGTATACTCCCTTTTAGAACCCTGGGCCCCCAGTGGTAGCCACATGGAGAGTCCACATGGAGAAACGAGGAACCCAGGTGGCAGCCAGAACTGAGACTCCAGACAAAAGGCCCAGGCTAGCTGTCTCAGACAGACCCGAGCTGAGGCCCCCGGACATGTGACGTAGAGTTTAGCCATCCCTCCTCTGCCTGGACCAAATTCCTGACTTACAGAATCGACAGTCAGTAAAAAACCTGTTGTTTTAAGTTACCAAATTTTGGGGTGGTTTGTTACATAGCAACTGGTAACAGGAACAACAGTAAACACACTACTTCATACAAATGCATTTCTGAAAAGTGGAATGGCCTTGTTTAAATAAGCTAGAAAAACTTAACATTGGGGGAAATCAAGTGGTTAGATTTCATTTATTTATTTTTGGCAAAGCAAATAAATTTATAAATTATACGCATTATAAATGTATATTAGACATTTGAGAAATTCCAAACCTCCCAAGGCAGCTTGAAACAAAATAAACTGTTTAAATCAGAACTACTTCAAGACTCATTCTTCTTTGCGGTTAGTTCTTGAACTACTGGCTTTAATTATCAACTAGAGATTATCGAGGGCCTGGGTACCGTGGTAGGCACTGGGGATCTAACACAGACGGACGCAAGGGACAGAATTGCTGCCCTCAGGTAGCTTGCAGTTTAGTGGGGAGAGAGACATTAAATAAGAAATTAGACATTAAAAATCGTGCTATGAAGGTAAAGTGCCAGGTAATGTGAGAGTATACTGGGGACCTAGTATAGGATGGGCCGGGGAAGGGGTCTTTGAGGACACACCACTTAAGCAGGGGAGGGAGTGGGAAATGGCCCATGCACCTGGAGTTCCAGGAGGTGAAGGCAGCCGGAGGGCAGCAGGGCAGGGCGTGTGAGTGGCAAGCAAAGGCGGAGAGGCGAGGCGGGTACAGGGACAAAGCAGCCTTATTCAGGGTTTTCCATTCCAGCCCACAAGCCATGGGCAGCCCGGAGGATCTTCAGCTCATCAGCAACATGACACAGGCTCTGTGGTCTTGCACTATTATGTCACTCCTCTTGCTGGGGCCAAGAGGTGCCTGATGGGAGCCTTTGTGCTGTTTTGTTTTTATTTCATTTACTTATATTTTTAGAGACGGGGTCTCACTCTGTTACTCAGGCTGGAGTGCAGTGGTGTGACCATGGCTCACTGCAGCCTTGAATTCCTGGGCTTAAAAATAATCCTCCTGTTTCAGCCTCCCGAGTAGCTGGGACTGCAAGTGCGTGCCACCACGCCTGGCTGAGTTTTTTACGGGTCTCGCTCTATCGCCCAGGCTAGAGTTGTTTTGTTTTTAAATAAAGATAGATCAGCCCATCTTTACCTTCCGTTACTGTAATAACAGTCAGGCTTTTTGACAGCTTCGAATCCATCTGGGTTCATGGAAGGCATGATGTGGATCCGGGTACTGTCGATCAGATTTGTGATTTCAGGGTCTTTCCCATCACTGGTCACGAGATAGTCAATCAGATGCAGCAGCAGTTCCCGCCCAACAGTCTGCACGTGTTAAAGAGAAAAGGGGAATTATTAGGGCAGAGGCGACAAGGAACACAGTCCAACAGTGCAAATTCCCCAACAGGGGCCTCTGCATGTGACATTTTAGACCCCAGCTAGTTTTTAAGGCCACTGCTTCTCAAGTACACACCCTGGCAAGTGGCAATCATGGGGTGTGCTGAAAATTATCCCTCAGTAAAAGTTAAAGTACCAAATTTGAATTTGAAATTTGAAATGAAATTAAAATTTGAAAGAAGTTAAAGTATCCATTTGTAAATATTTTTTGAAGAATGTATTAGCATGAAGTAAAGGTTCTTCTTATTACAATGTTTTTCACTTATTTGCCTTCCAAAATATTAATACCTTCTAGAGAAAGAGGTGGAGTTACAGAGAGGGCATGGGATTGGTATTTCCATGAGAACGCATGGTGGATATGAAAGCCATTATGTATGTCTTGGTGGATAACAGATGGAGAACCACTGCACTGTGGATTTTAATGAAAAAGAAAAATCCAAGTTTGTAATAAGCATAATTTAAATAGATTTCTGACTTCCATATTCCACTCTTTTCAAATTCCCCTATTTCCAAGTTCTCCTATCGCACATTTGTGCAAATTTTTGTCATATTTGTGTATTTCTGATTTCCACATTCTCCTGTTCTTGAAACTTTTAGTCATTTGCCCATGATCCTCACAATTTTTTTCCATATCTGCATATTATCCATAGGCTGTTTTTTACTTTATATTTTCTTTAAATGAGTTCACTTTTTACCTACATTAAAAATGAATCTTTCTTTTTTTTTTTTGAGACAGACTCTCACTCTGTTGCCC